GGGGGGGGGGGTGGGTGAGCTGTGTTCCAAGTCAAGAACATCACTTGGGGGAGCGGATTACAAAATGATACAGTCCGCGTCTTCTGATGGGTTGGATGTTGGCAGTGCCAAAATTGATGGATCTGGTATGTTTGCTGGTTTGGCCATGCATAAGGGGAAGGTACCTGGCAGAAAGCGATCAGGAAACAAGGCTAGCAAAATGGACTTGGCTTTGTCTATCAGGGATTTGACTCCACTATCATTGGAGAATCATCCTGTTGACACAGGAATTGCTGGAAAATTTGCGAAGGTGGATTGTTTGGATTTGATTGAGCTACTGTCTTTGATTGGAGAAGTGAAGTGTTTTGTTTGTGGTAGAATCGATCAAAGGTATTCAGAGAATATCACTATGATGAATTCTAAGTTAGATGCCCTTGGTTTAGCTGTAAGTATGTTGGAAAGGAGTATTGGAGGAACCGATACTGAGTTTCAGAAAGCAACTGGGTACATTAGAGTGTATGACAGATTGCTGGGGCTTCACCGGGAATTGGAATTGTTTAGGTGCAAGGGTGTGGAGATCATCAGTAGATCTAGTGAGATCCAGAACACTAGATTAGAGACTTTGGAGTTGAGAGTCCGTGAGATGCAGATTGCTACAAATGACTTGAAGGAGTCTAGTGACCACATAAAGAATTTGCTTGAGATATCAATGCAAACTCTTTGCAATCACATTCTGCCTGGACTCATCACAATGAAGGAAGAGTTCTATGAGGACCCAAGACAATTGTTGGCTCAACAAGTACAGTCTCTGGAAAAGGTCCCTGCTCCCTTGGCATTGGGGGGAACGAGTAAACTAGTAGTGATTGAAAATTGTGAAGAACAAAAAAGTATCCTTGCAAGGATAGAGGGGCTCAAGAAAGAAAATGCATCTCTGAAACAAGAGATAGCTGAGAGAGTGACAACTCAACAAGAGCGCATGGTACCACTCCCACCATTGAACTTGGATTCCTTGTCAAGTCTTCAGGAGCAATTGGCCAACTGGGAACTGAAGACTCAGAAGCATAAAGTCACTGTTGCAGGTTGCAAGTTTGGCGGAGTCCAGGATTGCAAGCGTTTCTTGCATACCAGGATGGATTTGGACGGCTCATCAGTGTGGTTTGTTGGGCATGATGTTGTGTCGTTGTTTAACTGTGTGACAAAGGAAGGGAAAGCATCAGCCATTGATGATGTACTAGTCCAAGATGGGCACGCAATCAGAGGGGGCTTTGATAGCATGCTGATGGCGTCTGTGTATGCATCCATGCAAAAGGCCATCCCAATCCAAACCATTGGTTGGCTATTGCCAATTTCCTCACAAGTCAAAAAACAATTTGCCTGTGACAGTGTAAAGATGCAGAAGAGGCATGGAGGTTCCCATGCAAAGTCATAAAAGCTGTATTTATGGAACTGCATTGGAGTTGGAGTATGGGTCTGATGAGACCTAGTTTGAAGAAGCTATCAATACATGATGCTGCAGGAATGATGTGGGGTATACTACGATGCTACAAACTCATGAACGAGTTTGTTAGTCACAAGTTTTTGGGACAACCAAAACTCTTGATATACTCAGTGAATCATTTGTCTTGTCTCATGAAGGATCTCGAACCAATGAAGAAACAGGCAGATCAGCTTCAGATGGAAATGGGTGCTATGCTGGGGGAACTTGACAAGAAGGAGGATAAACTAGGGGGCAATAAGGTTGTTTGAGTGTATCTGGAGTTTGGAGATCATGCTGGAGGAATTGACAATTTGGAGATCAGAGATGGAGATGTCAGCAAGCACCGCGACAGCAATTGAGATGAGCGGATTCCGCTGTATTTGACAAGCCAATTTCCTATTTTACATGTCGCCAACCTACCGATGAAGAGGTCAGCGATATAATGGAGTTTCAGCGTGTTTGGATGACTGCAGACATTCCTTGGCAGCCTTATGATCCTGATTCCAGGCGCCAAGAAGAAGCTCTGCGACAACAAATTGATGCTGATTACCAAGCACCGTATCACCAACTCGCATCTTTCACTCGACTTGATTCAACGCTCCCAACTGCTGCTTGCCTTGACCGTTTACCGCAACACAAGCTTCACACAACTATTTTGTCAGTTCGGTTTTCCCCAATGTCTCATACCTGACAATGCCAAGACACTCACTCAAGGGAAATTCCGAGAAGTTGCTAACGAAGGACAAGTGCCAATTCATCCTATTGAGCCTCATCATCCTAATCAAGCACTTACAGAGGACACAATTTGGAAAGGAAGTCGACTTTACCGTCGATTCATGCATGCAAGGAATATCCCTATTGCGTTCTGCGATCAAGTTTTATGTATGCTTTTGAGATTTGCAGTCACATGGCATTGGGACTTGCAATACAAGAAGGAGAATGGGGAGCCACAATTGTTTCTGGCAACACTAAAGATATCTCTCACCTGGTTGATTTTGCTATTTGGGATTGGTGTTGGTGCCTTTCTCCTAATCGCTCATCCAAGGATGGGAAACAACTATGCCGTTGGCTTGGTCCAAGTTTTACTATTGGAGCAGCTCTTTGTTTTGCTGTTGCTATTGCCAATGGACAGGTACTACAACAATTGTCAGTGATTCTGCTATCAACTGAAGAACAAAACAGTGAACCTATGGAAGAAAAAAAGAAAGAGTTTATGGAAGACGTGAAGAAGAATCTGAAGAAGGTCTGCTGATGGAGTTTCTATTTCTGAAGAAGAACTTGATCGCATTCGGCAAAAATACAACATGCCAATCTCTGCAATCAAGGATGATGGTTATCCACAGTATACACAGTATGAAGATCATTCACAAGAAGATCCTCGTCACAAGATTGAAGATGATTTCGAAGAGCCGCCGGATCAAGAAGGAGACCCTGTTGAGTTCGATAAATATGTCTCTGCAAAGGTATCTTTTAATGCAGATGGAATCGAAACTTTTGGAGTTGTTCAAGGTCGGAAGCGTGACTCATCTGGAAAATTGATTGGTCATTACCACAAGAATCCACACCTTGACACATCTATCTATCAAGTGGAGTTCGAGGATGGGAAGGTGGAAAGCTTCTATGCAAATCAGATTATTGAAGGGATAATGATGAATGTCGATGATGAAGGTAACACGATGTACCGGATTCGCAAATTTATTGATAATCAACGTGATGGACGAGCAGTTAAAGGGGATGACGGATGGTATACTACCAAGCCCGGAATCTGAAGCCGGTGGTCTGGCAACAACTGATTCTTCCTCCTGAATGTCCATTGTCCCTTCCTGCCATCCCAAGCAAAGTTGATCAACCACCAAAAGGACTTCTCCGGATTGATCGCTCCGCCCGTAGCCCTAATTCCTCCAGCCCACATGGACACAGCCGCCTGGACCGATTGGCAGATGTCCTCGCCGGAGTGATCAACCGACGCCCCCGCCTCAATAACGTCCGTGTCGTCCACAAAACAGAAGCACTGAGCTGTGACCAAGTGGGAGTTTATCGCCGTGAGACACTCAAAGCCAAACCCCATTGCCACCATCATCTGAATAATAGAGCTGACCGAGACCCAGATGGGGGGACCAGCCCCGTTGCCTTGTCCACACCCTTGGAAAGGAATCATGGACGGCGGTCAAAAGCTTGCTTCGGAATCTCCAAAGCCGTTTTGCACTTGATGTGTGGATGTTGCCAGTGTGTCAAACATCATCCAAAGTGCATTCCACATAATGGCCAACCGCATCATGGCAACCACTGCCACCCAGTGAACTACCCGATCAAACCATGACTTGGCATCGTTCGAAATCCACCCTGCCAATCGACGCTGGAGAATCAGTAGGTCCCACACCAGCCGCTTCGACAGGGCGAGATCAATCGCTTGATGGTGCTTTTGGGACCCGAATTGACCATCAGCAATCAGGTGATGGTCTTCGCCATAAGTCATGGCCAAACGACCGAGTTGCTTATAATTGGCCTGGGATTCAGAGTTCATCAACTGAATTGTTCGCATTTTCTTCAGGCGAAACTCCCCGGGCTTCTTTTCAATGGCAAAATTCATTAAATGTCGCCAGTTGTCAGGAACGAACCCAGTAGTTAGAGGGATATGCCGAAACAAGGCGTCACACTGGGCGATCATAGGGGAGAGAATCCCAGCTTTAAAGTGGCCATTATGCAGGCCATGAGGTTCAGAGCCCTTGTGTTCCGGATTCCGAGACCAGAAGTAGGTGTGATCTTCAGTAGAAACCTCCAGAGGTGACATAGAATGATCTTTGTGGAACCTGCACTGAGAAAGGAAGGACCGAGTTGGATAGTCAATGCCATCTGGTAGAGGAAGGCGCCCTTCAAGAAGGGCAAGGGAGTTTTGTTCCGCGTCATGGCCATTAAACATTTGGTACAATGGAGCATCTATTGGAGGGGTCATATGAGGCGATCTGGTCTGATCATACCGTGCGCAATTCTCCTGCATGCAACCCTGTTCCACTTGACTCCTTTCAGAGACAGTCTGCAAGCCCACTTCACCTGAAGGCAGCCTCTCTTTGACTTGAATCGCGTGTAATCCCCCATTAGGTCCTTTTGCCTGGGCGCGGCGTCGGCGTCTTGCCTCCTCCCGTTGCTTCATCCGCCGTAACCTCAGGAAACGGTCTCTGGCCTTTTGCGACCGCCATTGTTTCTTCTTGGACTTCGCCTCCTGCACAGTCAAAAATTCCTTGCGCCACTTCACAGCATAATGGGTCTTAGCCTCAAGGTATTCCTTCCGGTCCTGACGGAGGGCGGCCTCCAATTCCGTTGTCGTCTTTGTCCACGCGTCCGGTATCTCAACCTTCTGCATCAATCTGCAGATTTTACGTGAACTCACCCGGCAACCCTTCCTCCCCTTCAAAAGAATCTTCCACAAGGATTGACAGTCCCAAAACTGTTGCATCTTAGGAGACCAGGGCACCGATCCATTAGTGACCAGTCTACATTTTTCCTCCGCCTTTCGCCTTACGACGTACATCTGGTGGTGCAGGCAGTTATAATGACGACCCATTTTGGCTGTCATGGTCCCTTCATTTAGTTGTAGTTGGTGGTGTAGGGACGCCAATCGAGATGAGATGGAGTATTCCTCGTAGCCCTTGTGAACGAGCTGCAGGTAGCGGCGGACTGCTGTAGTATCCAACATAGTAAGTTTGCGGGGTTTGTACGGGGTCTTCTGTGGTTTGTACCCGCCCAAAGATTTCTCCAGGTCGATATCAATCCAAAGACCACAATGGTCGCAGGAGAAAAACTCATCAAAGTTGTAGTAACCTCCTGCCTGTACAGCCACCCCAGAGGTTGTGAAAATGCCGTTAACCGGTTTGCCCCTTTTGTTCCGGTGCTGAGTGGTGGCCGTTTGACCGGAGTGTTGTTGGAGGATAGCTTCTTCCATACCGACATCGCGAAGACGTTGACAAAAGGAAGAGGACTTGGTTGAGCTGATGTCCTCATTGGCGTCGACCCCCAAAATTACTTCACAGCCTTCATCGCGCCATTGGGTGATGGCTCGAAGAAGGTCTACCATAAAGGCCTCCCTTGGTTCACGCTGCCGACCTTGAGAGCGAAAGAAACTCCAGTGTTGTGCCCACACGGTAGACTCGCCAGTCCCCGGAGGGTTAGGTCGGTACGCAGCCAACACAACCAAATCCCTAGAAAACCTACTCCGTGAAGTGTTGGAAGCTTAGCGAACAGCTCGCTGCCCTCCAGAGTCAGGCCAGCCATCTACCTACCATGATGATTCAGCCATCTCCCACTCTACCCCACAACAATCGCATGTCTCCCGACCGTCAAGCATTGGCTCCACCGGTCAGATCTAGCAACAGAACCTTAGGCAAGTCATCCACTGGGCAGAGCACTATGGTTCCCAATACAGCAACACAACCAAAGAAGGCCACCAAGCAGGGCAAGCCACCAAAACAACTAGCCAAGAAGGCCCGTACAAGTGCAGGCGTTCAATTTCAGGAACCATCTTCTGCCCAACATCTCACATGGAAGGGGACAACACTACTGCCGCGTCTCAAGATGAGAGTCAAACCTCATCTCTTACTGCGTCTACTCTGCGAGGTGGAGGGTCACCATTCTTCTCTCCTCCTCCTGGGAAGGCGCAGAGTGATGGCGCCAGCAAATCCTCTCGGTCCGCCCGCAGGCGCAGAGTGATGGCGCCAGTAAATCCTCTTGGCCCGCCTGCGGAGCTCCCCGCTCCGCGGAGGGGCCATGAGAGGCCTACAATCGTCTGCAGCTGGGTCACGGCGTGCAGGTAGAAGATCTGGTATTGGTGGCCCTTCAAGTGGAGTCTCTCATGCTTCACTTGACAAATATTTACATTCTCTTCCAGCAGGGGATTGGTCTGGCGGTGATCACCACCGTCATTCTTCACTGGCTACTCGAATCTGTTTCCAGAATGTCAACGGATTACCAGAAAATGGCAGTGACTTCAAGCAGCAACAGATCAACTCCTGGCTGAAGGAAGAACGAGTGGGAATTGCGTTGTTGGCAGAGGCCAAGACGTTTTGGCCTTCTATCAATGAAGGTCACGGTTGGAGTGACAGACTCCGCCAAGCTACGATGAAGTCCAAGCAAAAAGGGTTTTATTCGTCGGTAGCTTACAATCGGCATCAGGACAGATCTGCTGCCACCTCGGCGGTACAATGGGGCGGGTGCATCGCAACCGTTTTGAACCAAGTGGCGCACAGGGCTAAGGAAGCTGGCAGAGATCCCACGGGTTTAGGACAATGGGCCTATGTTCGTCTCCAAGGAAGGAAGTTGAAAGCCCATGGGGGTAATGTTCAGGACTCTTTGGTTGAGGTAAATGACTTAGTCTGTGGTCCGATCTCCAAGGACTTGGTGGTTGTCTCCGCATATTGTCCCAACAAGCAAGGTCTCAGTAGATCTACAGTATGGGCACAACACAGACTTCACTTTCATGCAGTGAATCGAAAAGTTTGGATAGCCTTTGTGGACAATCTTTGCAAACAGATCATCAAATGGCGTGATGAAGGATGTGAGGTGGTTTTGGGTATAGATGCAAACGAGGATGTCACTGTTAACGCACCCCAGTCTATCCGCCACCGTTTCCGGGCCTGCGGTCTTGAGGAGGCGATTTGAAAACACCATCAACCGCATCCACCGCAAGCGACCCACCAGCGCAACCAACAGAGCATTCCGATTGATGGTATCTTCACCACTTTGGGCGTACCAATCCTTGCGGGTGGGTACTACGCCTTTGACAAAATCTTCGATTGTGATCACCGCGGATTGTGGATTGACATTGATCTTTCCGCCTCCTTGGGCAACTTCCAACCTCAGAAATCCAACTTCACACCACAAAAGTTGTCCCTTCAAGACTCTCGATCTGTCCGCAAATATCTTTAATTAGTTCACAGAGGTTATGCCAAGTACTCCATCCCGGAGAGATTGAATAAGCTGTATTATGATAATATAGATGTAAGATCGAATTGTCTAGTTCCATCATTAACCAATTCAACGGATGTGATGTGTGCTCAATTTTGTGAACTTGGCCCTGATCAGGGCCGTCTGAGACCAGGGCCGTCTGAGACCAGGGACAGGCAGAGGGCAAAGAAGTTTTCACTGCATCCAGTTTCTTGTTCTAGTCTCCAATGAATCAAATGGTATTGTTGGGATGGGTTTTTACATTCTTTGAAAAACTATTCAAGTACAGACTTGGATGACGCTACTGTGATGAAGATATCTTATACTAGTAAGTCAAATACCCGTAACCATGTTGAAGATCTGCAATTCAACTCCAGCTCACGGCTGCTGGACAGAGAATTCCTCTTCAGATGTCTTGGGGGTAGTGTTTGAACTGTGGTGTCCACCAAAGCAATTTGAATATCTTATTTTGGTTCAGTAGAGACCACAGCAGCACTGTAGCAGACCATTTTATCCTTGCACTGCTTGAGTCACCACAGAGCTCGCCCAAGTTGCTGTTTCCACCAAAGCCCTATCCCCAGAGCCAATTGCATCATTCAGCAATTTGGCAATGAATTGTTGATTGATTTGATCCTTTATTTGAGGACCCAGTGCATGTGCCAAATCACCAACCAAGCCAACGGCCTTACTAAGGACAAAATCGTCTCTGTTTGGATCAACAGAAAGCTCTTGTAAAAATTGAAGCACACTGGGAATATACTGGTAGAATTGATGCAGAAGATTTCCGTCTCTTAGTCCCTGGACAATTCCAACATAGGCCTCCAGAATGCTCTCTCGAAGCAAATTGAAGTACTCAATGAGATCTTCATCATCCTCAGGAGGCTTTGTGCTTGATGCTTGCATCAATAACATTACAGAAAACTGTAAGTATGGTTCGTAGGCAGCGCCAATTGCCATTGCAATGTCTCCAAAACATGAGAGAACGGGTGGCTTTACAGATCGGTGAATCGTCGAATCTTTCAGCGAATCAATCAGTGCATCCATCACCTCATCACAATATGGTTGAATTTGTGCTTCAATGTTTCGGCTAATGTCTCCTACTGTACCCACGGCGACAATGCATACTTGGAAGGCCTGGAAGTTACGCAACCCAGCAATCAATAGCGGCTGCAGTGTACTAATATACTTCTGGGAACGACAGTGGACCAGTAAGTTGCAACGGCTGACAAAAACAGCATGGAACGCAAAAAACTTACTGCAAAATCAGCTTCTACAACATCAGACACCGCAGAAATGGCAGAAAACACCTCTTCATGACAATTTGCATTTCTGTTCTGCAAGACACGAATCAGTTGTTCCATTACCTTATCTGTAAATGGAAGAAGAGTTTGCTTGTCCAGCTTGCGGAATAGTGCTTGTACAACAGCGCACAAAAGGCCTTGGATTTGGTCCTTCTTCGACTGTTCCGAGCTATCAAAATCTTGCATTGCAAATGTCAAATCAAATCTTTGAACAAAAACTGGTAAAAGCTGCACCAAGAGCGGTTGTACATCGGAAGCGGAGTTGGAAATTAGAATGGAGAGTGCTTCCATTGCTGCGACGCGGAGGTTGGATTCATCGCCATCAGGACGGTCACACACATTGAGGAGAGTCTGCATCAGATTTTGCATATATGGAGAAAGAGCATTCGAATCTTGTTGTTGAATAGCCTCTTCCGAAAACGCACTCGCTAAGTTGTAGAGTGCCGCACACGCTTGGCTTGCAACTTTTGGCGAACCTTCACCGCACTTTGCAACCAGAGCTTGAAGAAGTGAGGGGAAGATATCATTCGGAACGTATCGGATATGTAGGAGGCATATTCTCGAGATGCAGTGAGCTGCAGAGTCTCTGACCATGACGTGCAGATCGGACAAGAGCTGGAGCAACATGGGGACCGACTGCGAAACGTAAGGCCCAATTGTCGCTTCCTTGGGTCCGTCGAGCATACTGATGAATGCCATGATAGCAGCGTCACGAAGTCTCCAGCTTTCATTTTGAATGTTTTGCTGTACAAACGGCATAATGACTTGTACGATTTTGTCTTCAACAGTTTGGCTGATGCATGTGAGACATATATGACCTGCCATATGCAAGTTGAAAGTATCTTCCTCCGAATCCTCTTCTTGCTTTGTTAGCGTTTGGGCAAGGATAGGGGCAAGATGTGTAACAGCTGCCTCAACATAGCCCATGCAAGGTCTGGCAATGGGTAAGCCCCGTTCCTGCAACTCAGATGATTCATCGAGCAAATCTTGTTCAACCTCACACAGCGATGACCAGAATTCGATCGCCGATTTTGCGACTTCATCTATATCTTCTCGAATTGTATGGGTTGTTAGTTCGTACAAAGTTGTCATGTAGTCTTGTAGCTTCTCGTAGTAAAGAATCGCAATCTGGACGATACATTCATAAGCAACAGCTCTGACTCCAGGCTCTTGGCATCGCGTCGCCTCGCAAATTGTTGTCATAATAGCGTCCCGCTCTTCCTTCTTTTCCATGTTTTTGTGGGCAAACACTAGCGAATTTTTTAAAGCAGTTGCAGCAGCAAGCCTAACTTTGTCCGGCCGGGACGATTGAATTCCGTTGACAATTGCGTTTAGTATCGAGTCTGTTGTTGGTTGGTTGATTTCGGGGCCAGATAGAAAGGAAACTCGCTCGCAGGTGTAGCCTAAGCATTCCAAAGATGCAACCTTCACCGAATCTGGGAATTGTGTGGCCGAAATATTTTCCAATAGCGATGAAAGAAAGTTTGGCCATTGCTCGTATGGCAGTTCTACCGCAGCTACCTCTGCAGCAGCAACTGCGGCAATGTGAGAAACTCCATTTTCGCCACTTCTCATGGCAACAAGAAGGGGTTGTTTTATGCCATCTCGCACATTTGATTCCAAACTTGTCCATCGCTGATGTTTCTCCTTTTGCAGAGCGTCGTCTTTCGCTTGAAGTGAATTCTTAATCAGCAGACCTGCAAGTTGTCTAGCTCCAGTCGGCTTCCCTTCAGTTGAAAGTTCTTGAGCTAGACGCTGTAAGTATTTGCTAAAGCTTCTTTGCTCCCATTCTTTGATGGTTTGTTCGGCATGTGGGTCTGAAAACAATGTGAGATATGGAACCAAATGAAATGTAAAAAGAACGGAATCACAAGACCTCGCTGCCTGCATACAGGACTAGCAGCTTTTTCTTACCTGCGCGAGCAGCAGCTTCCAAAAGTTGCGTGAAGTCTGACATCTTCAGCGATGTTTGCTTCGTTTTCAATGGACGAAGCAAATGGAAATAGGTGGTTATGGTTGGTTCACGGACTGAGGTTTGAAAAACATTGTGTCCACCTATATAAAGGGGGATATGTCGTCTCCCTCAAAAGAAATACACACCACGTTTAAGAGATCGTTTTGGAGTAATCCTACGGATTACCAGGCGCCGCCTCCACTTCATGACTCGATGTCTAGCGTGATTGGCCTAGGATGATTGCATACTACAAATTTGTACCAAACGAGATTATGCCGGTCCTCCATACGTAAGTAAGATATGTAGGTTTGGCATCGTAAGCTTGGTAACTAGAATTAGGGACCGGATTTGGAAACGGGAATCGAAGATTCGACTCAATGGACTCAAACGTGACACAAATTTGGGACCTGGATGGTACTGAGCATTTGGTGCAGAAGAGATAAATCAGGAACCGGGTGGGATGGTGGGAAAAAAGATATAATCATTCTGAACTGTTTCAGATAATCATAGTTCCTTCGCTCTTCATCGTCTCATCTTGCACTTGGCAAAAAGAATGCTTCTGTTCATGCCTTTGTTTACCATGCCGATCGTCCCCAAATTTTCGTCCAATGAATTACCGTTACTTTGCTTAAGCGACTGACGACATGACTGTTGGCGTGAAGACAGGAGTCTTCTCTTGCCAGTCCGTCTACTGTCTTGCCTGATCATAATCCTACGGATTACCAGGCGCCGCCTCCACTTCATGACTCGATGTCTAGCGTGATTGGCCTAGGATGATTGCATACTACAAATTTGTACCAAACGAGATTATGCCAGTCCTCCATACTTAAGTAAGATATGTAGGTTTGGCATTGTAAGCTTGGTAACTAGAATTAGGGACCGGATTTGGAAACGGGAAGATTCGACTCAATGGACTCAAATGTGACACAAATTTGGGATCTGGATGGTACTGAGCATTTGGTGCAGAAGAGATAAATCAGGAACCGGGTGGGATGGTGGGAAAAAAGATATAATCGTTCTGAACTGTTTCAGATAATCATAGTTCCTTCGCTCTTCATCGTCTCATCTTGCACTTGGCAAAAAGAATGCTTCTGTTCACGCCTTTGTTTACCATGCCGATTGTCCCCAAATTTTCGTCCAATGAATTACCGTTACTTTGCTTAAGCGACTGACGACATGACTGTTGGCGTGAAGACAGGAGTCTTCTCTTGCCAGTCCGTCTACTGTCTTGCCTGATCATAATCCTACGGATTACCAGGCGCCGCCTCCACTTCATGACTCGATGTCTAGCGTGATTGGCCTAGGATGATTGCATACTACAAATTTGTAACAAACGAGATTATGCCAGTCCTCCATACGTAAGTAAGATATGTAGGTTTGGCATCGTAAGCTTGGTAAGAACTAGAATTAGGGACCGGATTTGGAAACGGGAAGATTCGACTCAATGGACTCAAACGTGACACAAATTTGGGACCTGGATGGTACCAAGCATTTGGTGCAGAAGAGATAAATCAGGCCAAGGAATGGTATGTGATCGCTTCTGGAGGAAACGGAAGAAAGGGGCCAATACACACATAAAATTCAGAAATCAAAAATCAAAAACTAAAAGGTAGAAAATATTCTTCCCCACACTTCTCCAAAACAAAACTGTACCAGTCCTACGCGTTTTGTACGTAAAGGAAAACATTTGTTGTTGTTGAAACAGGAATTAAATTTAAGCCAACATGAAGGATAGCATCACCAACCCGCCGGAGAAGGACCCGAATTCGATCATGACTGTAGCTGACCAAGGTCAGGGAGGTCTTGAGGGAAAAAACCGATCAAATTCGACCACTCAATCGTCGATTGCTCTTACCAAGGACAACCCTGCCATCACAACTTCCCAGCGCCGCAGCAAGCGATACCCTTCAAAAACCGCCGAGGATGGCGCAATGAAAGGCCGTTCGCTCTTCCCATCTGACGTTGCCCAAGGCCAGGATGGCTCCATGGCCAAAGCTCGATCAAACTCTACCACTCCTTCGTCGACCGATTTCACCGAGGATAATCCTGACACCATGCTTTCCAAGAGCCAACGCAAGCAAACCCCTCCTTCCAAAACCGCCGAGGATGGCGCAGTGCAAGGACGACCGCTTGTCGCGTACACCAAGAAACTCAGGGTGTCCAAGTTTCACCGGCTCTACAAGAAGGCTTGGAGGCAGGAGGTTTTTGGGAACCAAGCATTTATCACCTGGTCCTCTCGCACCGCGGAACACTTTGGTCATGCAATATCCAAATGCCCCGGCTGGTGGGCTGAAGCCAGTACGGACCAAGCCGATGCTCACTCTTACGACGAGATCGCTGCGTTAATCCTGTCTGGCTTGAAGGTGTACGACCCATCACTTGGTGGTTCTATGCCCCAGCTTCGGTCCAGCATGCAGAATCTGTTTTCTCTTGGCGACCTCGAAGACGCCGACAACGACAAAGCTTCCTGGTCTCTTCGCGAGTACTTTCTTCGCCTCGCGACACAGTGCCCCACGGTTGTGTTTGATCTCGCTGCGGCCCAACGCGTTATTAAAACTGACGAAAAGTTGCCTCGCTTTTGGGAATTCGCGCTCGTGTTCGACCCAACATTAATTGTTCAACGCGCCGAGCCGTTGACTTGGATGTGGCTAGCGGCATCCGAATTCTTTGCTCATCCTTGGACAGGCCCGGCCATTCTTCCTCCCATTGTGGAGGAATTCGAGCGACTAGAAAGGGAGTCTAAAATATCCAAGGCTCAGTCCAAGTCCAAGAAGCGCCCTGCATCTACTCCAGAGAACCCAAAAGGTGCAAAGGCCAACGATTCGCGCCCGTCTCCCGCTGTCCCGATGCAAACCGACCCGGCACTGAAGGGTCGGTTTCAACCCTTCCAACGAACTCCACCTTCTGATGCCACTCCTCCTCGCCAACAAGTGATCCTGTCTGACGCCGTCCACGTCATTGCCAGCACCCCTGGAACACAGGAAGCCAGTGCTCCAACTGACGCCGTCGTGGAAGCCAGCAAACCGTGTGTTCGTACCAGTGAGGAACATGGAGCAGAGGACCACAATAGCGCCCCGACCTACAGGGACGCTGCTGCCTCTCTCCCTGCTTCCACGGTACCCCTCACCACTGACGAACGATTGACGCGCCTTCTCGCTGTCACTTGGAATGCTTCCCCCTTCCGGCACATTACCATCTTCAACGTGTCGATTGTCTTTGATTGGCAGGGCGTCGGTTCGTCCGAGTTCAATCAAGTCCAGACCGCCTACAATGCCTTCCATCAGTTTGCTTCCGGTATTTGGGGCGAGATCACTTCCACGGTCGTCCTCCTGCCCTTTGCTGACGGTCGCTTTACCCGACAACAACTGTGGATCCGGAACTTGAAGGAGTTTGACGAAAAGGCCAAGGATTGGGCCCACCTGAAGATCTACCTCGACCCCAACTTCGGCAACCCGTACATCCTCAACAAACCTGGGAAGACTGGGTCGAAGACCTACAAGACTCGCATGCGGTTCGGTATGGACACTGCCCCTCCCATCCTCATGCAAGAACTTCGCTCTGTCTTGTCCAGTGAGCCTCGGGCGGGCGTCTTCCCGACCCCTATCCAGGTTTCCGACATGGTCCGTCTTGGCTTCCTCCCGTTGCTTCCCCAAGAATTGGCGATTGGTCCGTACTGCAAAGACTTGATGCGTCTCTGCGACTTCCAGTACCCCATTGGCCTCATGCAAGAATGGGTCAACAATCCACGGTTCTTCTCTGCCAAATTCACTGGGTCTTCGCGAGGCCTCCTGTGCTGGCATGTCTTCGTCCCTAAATCCTTCGCTCGCGAGGCCGACCTGATCTTGGCCGCGAACTTGGACATCCGTAAGCCCAGTTGTGCTCCCTTCCAAGCACCGACCCATTACACCAGAGATTGGCAGGCGGCGAAGGACGAATTGGTCCTCGGCAAACAGTGCCCACAGCTCCAGTCCGTGATCGAAGCCATGCGGGAAAGGACTCGGGCGACGCGGGTTTTGACTGCCACCTACCGGATTCCCATCGAACTCCCGGGCATGCTGACTTCTGCTGTCACTGAGAACTTTGGGAAGCTCACCCTCCTGCGATTCCTTATTGCCGTCATTGTCACAGGCGCCCAGGCCAAGAAGGCGGAGGACGCCGAACCCAAGAAGCCCCCTGCCAAGGCCATAGAGGTGCTGAGTGATAGCGAGTCGTCCGGTGACGACGATGATGATGATGGCCCCCCAACCTTTGAATGGACCACAATCATCAAAAAGTCTTTGGTTGCCTCCACTCCAAAGCCTGTGGAGGAGACAAAAACCTCGCTCCTCACTGCACCCAAGTCTCCCGAGGACGACGATGCCTGGATCGACAAGCTAGCACAGATGAACCTCACCAACAACAGTCCAAGCCCTCTGTTCGTCATGATCTTACCAGCCAAGGAAGATGGATGCTATTTTGTGGTGGTTCGCCAGCGCTATCTTCCTCTCGCGATGAACGTGCTCGACAACCTGCCATCCTTTCTTCAGTTTCACCTTGGCAAGTCGTCGTTCCCCAATTTCATCCGCGTCATCAAGAACTGGTCAGCTACCGACCTTGCCTACCAGAATCGCAAGCTTCACATTGAATGGGTCCCGTCAGAACTTCGCTCCCGCTGTATTGACGATCCCACCAACGAACAAGGTCCTCAAGTCCGTGACCCAATGGACTTCCTTCTCTGCACGGAAGACCCTGTAGAGATTCTTGAGGGCACCCTCCACATCGACATCCACGCCAAACATGTTTGGGACGTGGACGATGGCCTATCCGTGATTGGTTACCTCAAAGACTGGAACGAAAACCAGGCCCAACTCCAGACCGCTCTTCAGACCATCGAGACTATCACTGACGAGAGGAACAGTTTGAACCGGGACCTACAGTCCGTTTGTGACGAATTGGAGGCAATGAAGGCCGCCCACGAGGCAGCTGCTGCTATGTCAGCGTTGGCTACAGACGTTAGGCCCGTTCCTATGCTTATAGTGGACGTTCCTACCGGTCCACCGGGCCAAACACGCATCAGCACTACTACACTACTCAGTCCCTCGGCTCGTACCATTGCTTCACCAGCGACGGCTCAAGAAACGGACGGAGAAGATGGGGAGGACCAACCCAATGCGTCCTCTCCTATGGACACCGGTCGTGGGGGTATCAGTACCCCCACAACGGGTCCATGATAAACAAAAGATCGCCTGTCGCTTGGTTGCGGCGTAACAGGCATGGATCGTTTATCTACAGCAACCGGTCAAGAGCGGCTCCACACACCTCTCTTGATTCCCTTTTAAGTTCCTTCCTTCCAGGAGATGGTTTTGGTGACAACCATCTCGT